TTCTCTGCCCTAGGAGCTTGGGATGGCAGTGGGGGAGCTTCCTTCCGGGTGCTGGGACCGGCTGAGCTTCTCTGCCCTATGAGCCTGGGATGGAGGCGGGTAGCTTCCTTTTGGGTGCTGGGACCAGCTCACCTTCTCTGCCCTAGGAGCCTGGGATCGCAGCAGGTGAGCTTCCTTCCGAGTGCTGCAACATCTGATTGTAAGAAACATAAAACATATTACCCATATTCCTTCATGTTACCCTTTGCCACAAAGGATTTAAGACAATTCATTTGGCATCTAAACTGATTAACTCCTATGAGAATGGAGTTATGTATACTAATAGTGAACATTTTTTATTTCCTGTTCAGCATTTTGATCATTTGGTCTTCATTTGTCTTTTTGAATATTGCAGATTTTTCCTCCTGGATTTTAGGTTCTCTTGAACCCAAAGAAGAAATGAACTCTGAATTTGGGCCTATGCTGATGGAAGCCCAGAGGTCCCTACTCCGTGCTTACCTTGCCCTCTAGTGGGCAGTATGCATATTGCTGTGCTGAGAACTAAATACAAAGTATTAGATGTGCCTTCCAAATTCCTATTCTGATTCTGGTGGAATGGTTATTCTGTACAGATGTGCACAGATATCCATAACACATATGAGAAGTTATACTGCTGATAAATGTAGTTGGTGAGTTAAAGAAGAATGCTTAAAAATAATATCAAGTATAAAAATAAGTAGTAGAATTCCAAAATCAAAAGTAGTAAGAGAAATCTAAACTTCAAATATTAAAATATAAAACAACATTAAATAAAATTCTTTTACATTGGCACAGAAATGATGAGATCAGTGGAACTGAATAGAATTCAGAAATCAACTGAGAGGGTGTTATTTCAAATCATTGAGGAGATGATGACATAATAAATAGTGCTGAGAAGACTGGCTGAATATATGGTTAAAAATAAAAATGAATCCCAGCCTCATTCTTTTCTTCCAAATAAATTCTGGGTGCACAAGAGGTTAAAACCTTAAAGAAATGATACTATTAAATTACTAAAAGAAAATATGGACCATTCAAAGATAAAATGAGAAAGATGTGCTATGTGAAATGATAGATCCAGAGGTCTTTTAAGAAAAGACATTTCTTCTGGAGAAGAAACAAAAAAAGTTGAAAACAATTGTAAAACAATAATACTTAAAAGGCAAATACCAAATTCAATCCTTTAAGTTAAAATGAAATACGATATAGTATATTGGTACCTAATAGATTACTTTGTAGACCATAAGGAAATAATCTGAGTTTGAGATAAAGCGGCTTCCTAAGTTTGTGCTGTTTTATTTCCTTATGTGAATTATTTTCCCAAGTTGATTATTTTCCTCTCACTGCTTTTAGTGTTAATCCTTTGCTGTACATGTTATAAATATTTCTGCCTATTTATTCTTCTGTTGCCTTTCAAAATGTTTCTTTAATTTAACATTTTAGCCATTCTGTGATTTATGTTCATGGAGGAGTAGAACCTTACATTTTTCTTAAATCTGTGTCTGGGTAACTCCTTTCCCTTCTGAAGAAAATTCTAAGCTCACATCTGCACAGCAGTTTGTCTTGCCCGCCACCTTCATTGCTCTGTTCCTTCTGGCAAGACTGAAAACTTCTCATTGGATTGATTCCTAGCTCTAAGGTACGTCTTAACATCTAGAAGAGCAAAGTCTCCCTGTGCTTATTGAAATTTTTTATTCTTTCTTGTACATTTTCCACATAGAATTGTGACTCTTCATTTATTCAAGTTTTCCTTATTTGTCTTTTAGTTAAGTTTTTATGTTTTCTTCATGTACATTTTCCTTAGGTTTCTTTTAGGAATTTATGGCTGTCATTGATGTTGTAAATGAAGTTTTAGTCCACTTTTAAAAATTTAATATTTTTCTGGGAGAGATTCTAAAGCACGTGTATACTTAACAGTGTTAAATTTCTGGAACGAGAATTTTTTTTCAACATGGAAACACATTTATTCTGAAGGATTTTTTTTCCTGAAGAATTGTTATTACATCAATTTGCACTTTATATGTGATGGAGTCTTAAATTCCAGAAAATACTACATCTGTATACATAGAAGAGATGGAACATAGGGCCCCCAGCCCATTGCACTTGGCATACTTTCAGGAAGTCCTGATTCCAAAGTCTTTGCCATGAATTCTGCAAATCTAAGATTAAGATCCCTTCACCTCTGGCTCTTACATGGATTCTTGCTACCTACAGGTCACCTTTGTCAATCATATCCCAAATCCAACCCCTTCATATTCCCATAGAATATGTGCCTCACCAAACATTTTGTGCATGTAGATTGGAGGTCAGAGGTTGTGGCGAGGGTATCCATCCAGGAGCAGCAGTCTGGGTATCATTTGAGGGTCCTTGTTCTCCCTTCTAAGCTTAGTGCAGTATTCTCTACTAAAATACTGAGTACTTTTCCTGAAGAAAACCATGATAAATACAATTTTTCTACTCCCTTACGTATCAGTAAAGACTAAATACATTCTTGTTATGGCTAATTTACAGTAGAAAAAGCTGGAAAATAGTCCCTTGATTTTTGTTTTATATCATGCAGAACATAGAAAACTACTGAAGAAGTATTGTCTGGAGTTGGCTGAAAGTCAAAGACCATTAAGTCTTTGTGCAACGAAATTTAAATCATTTAACTATATTTCAGTGTAAACTTTTCGTAAGTAACACTGACCTTGAAAGTTTCATTAAAGAATTGGGTAGTAGATGATAAATTATTTGAAGACATACCTTTGGGATAAAATGGCATATATGTTTGAATCATTCTGCCATGCAGCATTTGTATTTGTTTTCAGTATATCTGGTTTAGGATTGCTTATAAAACTAAATTTTTAAATTGATTTTCTCTTGCTTCTTATTTTGAATCTGCAGTTGACAAACAACTTTTTAGCACATGTGGTATGTTTGGTAATTGTAGCAGAATATGTTAGTACCTTTAAAGTGGATATCACCTCTTTTCTTTTCTATATTTATAAATGAATAGAACTTTCTGGAAAATAATGTACTTTGGTAAGGTTGTCATCCCAATTACTTAGTTGTAGCCTATTTCATTCACTTAGCCTCTAGGAACAAGCACTTCCCTTCCATCAATGCTTGTTCAAGCAGTGACACCATACACTGATTCATTCAGGACATAAAATCTGGTCCCTCCTTGCTCCTGCTAAGAATGAATGTGGTGGAGTCAGTTGACACAAATTGCATCAAGTGAAAGGGAAAGGAAAGAAAACTTAAGCTTTGTGTTCCATTTAAATACTGCAGCTGTACAGTGATGCTGCTGTGATCTTGTTACTGTGCAGTAGTCCTAGGCTGCTGGTTGGGTTACGCTGGGAGGTGGTATGGATATGGGACCATGGGTGACCTAGCCCTGACAGTAGCTCCTTGAGCTGGAGCAAGAGGACTATAGGGCCAGCTGCCCCTGTACACCATGAGCCTGGGGTGGAGCCCAGGCCTCTGCAGGATCACCTTCTGGCATAGGTGTCCTCAAGAGAGAATAAGCTGCTGTCAGTCAGGAGAGTTGTGTGTTCCTCAAAGGGCTATGGCTCCATTGGTTTGCATATGGGAAACTGAGGCTCTATGTTTTTGGCAAAGATTTACTCAAAAGCATGATTTACCATGAAAAACAAGCTTGTGCTTATAAATAAAGCTAATGGTGTACCTTTAAATGAAGTTTCATTTTTAGCCCAAATCAGTCATATTGGTAAAAGTATCAAGACACTTTAACAAATTTTTGCCAATATGATTGGTCGTATGTCCCGCCTACCTCTTTCAATCTTATCCTCATATAAATTTATCTCTGACCATGTATCAAATTCAGGTTCACTATATTTATCTCTGAGATCTTTGCTTGTTTATTTTTGTTAGTTTTTATGACTGGTTGATCTTATGAAAACTTAAGCCCTCACTATTTCAGGTAGTATTGTCAGATAAAACATTTTAAACAAAAGCTGTTACTTAGAGGACAATACCATATGCTCTTGTTTATAATTGTTTAAGAAAATTACTTAAAGGTTTTTTAAAAACTTGGCTTCTGGCAGCACTGTGAACCATATAGTGGTTCATAAAACTAACTGCCGTGTTTGGACTTGCAGGACCTCCAGAGGTGGGTGGATGGTGCTCATGAACACGGCTTTGTCTTGGTTTCCTTTGGAGCTGGGGTCAAGTACCTCTCAGAAGACATTGCTTACAAATTGGCAGGAGCTCTGGGGAGATTGCCTCAAAAAGTGATCTGGAGGTAGGTAAAATAATACAGATTGTTTCTTTGCTGTTGACTTTCGGATTCACCCCTGAAGGTCCCAGTAGAGCACAGCGTATTTATTTGCTGGCAAGACCAGTGGATGGCCCAGAGTTTTCAGTTTGCTTCTTAGTGCACTGACATTTAAGAATTAATTCCTAAGACTCTCATAGATGAAGAGACCTCTGGCTTGTAGCATGTAAAGAAAATGAAATTTAGCATGATTTATTCTATGTTGGATGCACTTTTATATTTCCTTTAGAATTCTCCCATTTTTCTCTTCTATTCTTATATTTTAGAATTTAGTTTAGTAATTATATACCTTTATATGTCAGTTTTGGAATGAGGTAGAGAATGAAGAATTAATGAATAAGTAGGTAAAATGTTTCATGGATTTTGGGCCATCCATGTTGCCCCCTTTCCAAGTATTTTTGCTTTCTTTATCCAAATGACCGGACCTTTAAAAAACAAGTAACTTACCAGTTTACACTGGTAAAAACAGACCCCCTGGATCTATTACAGCTTCCTTTGAAGCTGCTGCTAATAGGTGCCTGTCTTTAGAATTTAAACTCAAAGATGAAAAACCAGACCTGAGTATTTTATTTAGCATGTGTTTGTTTAGTACTAGCCACTACGATGGGGTTCCAGGGATATTGTAACAAACAGAATCAGTCCCACAGGTTCTACCACAAGATAGTGTCTCTGGTTTTTTTCAGCTTTTGTTTTTTTGTTAATACATATTTGCACCACATAATGATTATCTTCCCCATGGGGATTAGATACATGTACATAACACACCTGAATTCTATTTTCATCTACTTCTCCCTTCCCCTCTCCCTTTATCTCTTGGTTGCCTTTCTTTTTACAAAAGATCTATTTCCTTATTCCCTACTATCTGTCTTTTATTTTGCTCCTTATTTATGTTTTAGGTTTGTCTCTGAAGCATTACCAATACTCTGAGTCAGATAGGTTTTCCCTTTATTAACAAGGTGCAAAAATGACCTCCCTCTTCTTGCTGAGCTCTGAAATGGTTCATGTTTCATTCTAGCTATCTGGGCTTCTCCTTCAGAATCCAGGCATTGAGTTTTCTGTTAGCTTGGCCCAGAAAGCACCCTGCCTGCTTTATTCAGGACAATTCAATCAGCTGCTCACACTCTTCATTCATTCCCTTAGCTGTTAGGCACTTTCCTGGTTTATCTTTAGAAGATCAGTCAGGGAACAGCCTCATTATTTTCTTTGTCCTGCAGACCTCCTCTGCCAGGGGCCAACCTAAAAGAGGACTGCTACTTCCTTCTAATGCTTTTACCTCCCCTTGGGCTCTAGGAGTCAAGGGTTCCTGCCAGGAACGGCCCAGTGCAGTTTCCCCTAAATCTCCTTTCTCAGCCTCTGATATTGGTATAGACTGACTTCTAGCAGTGATTCACTTGGTTGCTTTTTTTCCCTCATCTCTTTGTATAGAGAGGAAGATAATAAATCTTTATATAAACAAATGCATATCTGTCCCTCAATCAGTGAAAGATTTTTGGTTACAAAGAAATGTCATCACCTTTTTTGTTGATATTAAAGCATGATTTCATTCTCAGTGTCAACAAATGGTCATGTAACATTCATTCCAACTCTAAACATTTAACCAGTGAGCCCATACCAGGAGTAAGGTTTGATTTCTAAAAGACTCATGGTCTGGTGTACATTTTAGGTTTTCTGGAACCAAACCAACGAATCTAGGAAACAACACGAAACTCATAGAGTGGTTACCGCAGAATGACCTGCTTGGTAAGTTGGTGACATGTGGGTACTTACTTGGCTGTTAGTTGTAAATATGATTTTTATACTTGAGAGGTTTGTAAAGTATGTGTTAGTGTGTGATGGAGTCATTTTGTATTATGTAGTATCTCAATTCTTTTTTGTTTGTTTTGAGACAAGGTCTCGTTCTGTAGTATAGGCTGGTCTTGGTTCATGATGTAGCCCAAACTAGCCTCAAACTCCTGGCCATCGTTCTACCTCTGCCTCCCCTGTGCTGGGATTATAGGCATGTGCCACCACACTGCTCAATTCTTAAATTTCAGGCCAATTATTGTGAAACCCTGAAATGTAACTGGAAACCTCTTCAGTAGGCTCCAGTCTCCTGCCCAGTGTTTGATGCAGGCCTGAAGAAAAAAAACAACTAAAAGACAGAACTAAGAGACACAGAAAGTGGGGCACCAGAACAACCAATGCTGGTGCAACTGACAAAGGCTCTGGCTAGGCCAAGCCACTGATTTTTGTTGGTAATCAATTGGGGTAAAGGCAAGCTGCGTGCAAGGACAGGACTATGTGCAAGGATGCCCAGTCGTGCAGTTTCTATGGAAATTAATGTAAGCAAGGCTTATAAAGGACAAGACAGAGCATTCTCGAATTAGGAACAGAATAGACAAAATATATGGTTGTAATTAGAACATTGTCCTTCTGGTTAGGAAGTTTTAGTTGTGGGAATGGAATTTGGGTGCAAGTTACTCTGACCTTGGCTCATAGGCCCAGACTCCTATAAACAAGCCAATTGTGGGATTAACTCTTCAAAGCCTGCACTGCTTACAGCCTGCTTTGGGCATAATCAATATTGCACCAGTATTTCAAATCTTTATTTGTTGGAGAACAGTTTGTAAAATGTAGTCATTAGAGCCTGTAATTTAAAATTTTTGACCAGTTGCAAATTTTAACTACTTGGAAATATACTTAATAAGCTATATAAATTAGGAGTGGATAAAGATATGCCCGATTAGGCTAGTGAAGTAAAAGTAATAAAATTAAAACAATGAAAATGCAAACATTATAACATGTTTTACTATAGATGTGTCTGAGAACCCAGAGAAATTAGAAATTACTCATTTGTGTAATACCAAAGAGAAGCAGAAAGCCAGGGAAATAGTAGATTAATTTTAACTTCAGTAGTATCATCTTTCTGAATTTCTTCCTAATTTATTAATTTATATTCCAGATAATTATACTTGGTGACTGGCCTAAAATTTTAAATTATAGTATTTACAAATTGTTTTCCAGTAAGTGAAGATTTGGAATGTTGGTCTGAATTTTTTTTTTTTTTTTTTTTTTTTTTTT